AGTTGGAAAATATTTATATATTTTCTTTAAAAAATTTAAATTCATAAAATTTGTATAATTTTTTTACAAATTTGAAAATATAAAAAGGTTTAATGAAAGGGTAAAAATTTATTTTAACCCCTGAACTTCATATAAAATTTTAATTATAGATTTTTTTTAAAATCTAAAATAGTTTAAGGATGAATTTGTAATTTAACATTCGTAGAATTTTTATTATTCAATGACAAAATAAGGATATTTTTGAAAGAAAAAAAATTAAGGGCATTTTAGTCTAAAACGCCGGTAATCCAACAATACCTAAGGAAAGGGAAGTAATGACATTCCCGGTAATATACTCCAAAAAAGTTTTCATTCCACCCCAAAGCTCTCCTCTAAAGACTACACCAACTTTCTTCTCGTTTTTATTTAGATCACCAAAGTTTAATTTTTTTAAATTTACTCATTTAATATTTTATATACACATATTTTAATCACTGAAGTTTTAAAACATAAATAGAAGGATGACATGACAACCATGTATGCTGACGTAGACTCTTTTTATTGATATAAAATTCATTCGTCATCTATGTTATTTTTTTATTTTATCGTTTTCCTATAAAAATGAAAGTTTTACTGTTTAATTTTAATGATACGTCGTCGTTATAAGTATCATTCTTCAACATTTTTTCCAATCACTCAGAATATCAACAAACTCATCTCATTTTAACCTATCAATTTATTAATTTATATTTTACCTAAATAACTTCAAAATCGATAGAAAATGATCACAAACCCTAAACTCATAAAATCCCAAACTGCTCTATTTTATAATATTCATCGTATGATCAACGTGAAATCCATCTATACAGTTCGCTTTCTCCATTTTAATATTTTCGTCATTGTAATTTGTAAGAAAATGTTCCATCGTTGAGAAATCAAAGGGATTCAAAATTAGGAATTATTTCTCAAAAAGCGAATAAAAATTTAAAGTTTTTAATAAATTATGAAAGAGAATAAAGGTTATATAATAGTGAAAAAAATTAAGTAATAAAATTTGAATCAACTAATATATTGATGACAAAGGATTAAAATTTTTAAGTTTTGAATCATTCTTTTATAGATATTTTGATTTAAAAGAAATAGAATTTAGTTATTCAAAATATTTTTTAAAAATTATATTATAAATTTTAAATAATTTTTTTCTTTCATAATTTAAAAAAAATGTAGAAAGAAACTATCTTCACCCTACATGTGAATGGCCATTAATCTCTATAGGGGTCAACAAGCCCCTAAATTCACCTTAAATAATTCATCCCAAACTATTTAAATTCCTTCTCATTTCCATCCTCGAGAACCACCGGAGATAATTCTATTATTTTAGTTTAAGCTTTAAGAAATAAAAATAAAAAATAAAATAAATTCATGGCGAAGATTACTTTTGTTATACTTTCATTTGCCCTGCTGCTTTCCATCCATTCCGTGGTAGGAGACGACGACGGGGAAATCAAAGACTTCGTCAGAGATGCTAGCACCACCGTTGACGGCACAACTTCTGATCAGGCAGAGAAAACCGACTCCGTGCCTGATATGGCACTTTCCCCTAAGCATGAAGGCAGATTCTTCTCCACCATGTTCTTCACCCCAATGCTAGAAATGGCGGACGTCGGATTAATTACGATCGATGATGCGAAGAAGGTTGCTTCTTCCCCCGATGTTCAAACACGGTTGGCTAAATTCATCGAGGAGGCTAAGTTCAGCTCGAAAGACAATATCGATGTCGTCATGTCGCCAGACGAGGAGGAACGGTATTTGTCGACGATGTTCTTCTCGCCGTTGATGCAGATGGCGGACGATGGATTATTAGCTCCCGATGTTCTGAGGAAAGTCGTGTCATCCTCCGAGGCCAAATCGAAGCTGGCTCAGTTCATCGAGAAAGCTCGAACCAGTGCACGAGATGGCGATGGACCGCTTTCGCCGGAGCAGGAAGAACAGTTCTTCTCGACGATTTTCTTCACTCCGATGATGGAAATGGTGGACGCTGGTTTCATATCTCGCGACGCCATGCAGAAAATGGCGGCGTCGCCTGAATCTACGTCGGCGTTGAAAGAGTACATCGCCAAGGCTAAAGAGAAGTATCGTAATCGCGTTGCTCTTTCGCCCGAGCAGGAAGAGATCGACTATGAGATAATGCTGTTCACTCCGATCATGAAAATGGCGGAATCCGGCGTCATAAGTCCGGAGATTGTGTCGAAAATCGTGTCTTCGCCGGTGAGTAAAACGATTTTGTCTCGTTTTGTCGAGTCGGCTAAAGCTGATTTTAATGCTGAAGTCAAGAAAGGGGGAGAGGCAGTGCAGGAGGAGGGATGATGAAAATACATTTTAACCCTAAACATGCATGCACTCCGATCGTATACGATGGTGCTCTAATATTGTATGAAATTCTTTCAGAATTATAATAAAATTATTTGATTATTATATGTACCATCCTCTAAAAATTGTACAAGTTCACCCTTAATATAAAATCTCGTGTATCTCCCTTTTCCTTATCAGCTGACATCCTTCGCTACTGTTGTTTAACCGTTGTTAATTATTGTTTGCGACATAATTGATTGAAGGAGAGGACAAACTGTGGATTAGAGTGGTCAAAAGTAAGTACAATGGAATACTACGGTGCCGGAATCCATTGTTAGGAAGCGATGTTCGAGACTGTGGAAGGGGTTGAGTTGTGTTTGGAAGGAGGTGAGGGATAGCATCATTTAGAATATTCGGAATGGCGCCTCCACGGATTTTTGGTATGACAATGGGATCGATGGGCTTCATCCACTTGTGCATTACTGTTGCTCGGATTCAAACCCGCAGCCTACACGAGTTAGTGAAACGGCGTTTCCTGATGGACGGTGGAATTGGGAGGTGGTTCACTGTGTTTTGCCTCAACGAATATGTGAGAATATTGCAGAAATTAACCCGCCCATGGTTAGTCTGGGTGATGACGTGCCAAGGTGGAAATGGGAAACTAGCCACAGCTTTTCTATTAAGTCGGCTTATAAGTTTTTGGGTGCTTCGATGGGGAGGCATGATGAAGAGAATTGGAATGCTATTTGGAAGCTTGATATTCCACAAAGGTTAAGAGTTTTCCTTTGGGTGATCTTGCATGGGAAATTGCTTACTAATCAAGGGAGGTCCGTAGACACGTTTGCGTCGGAGGCAAGGTGTGGAATTTGTCAACAAGGTTAGGAGGACTTGAATCACGTTCTTCGCCATTGTTCCTTTGCGGCAAACATTTGGAGATTGCTAATTCAGGAGGAGAAGCTGGGGGAGTTCATGAATTTTCCTGTTCAGGACTGGCTCATCCAGAATATACATGGTCGAGGTAATTTCTCCTTTAATAATTGAAACTGGGGCCTGTTATTTGTTAACGTTTGCTGGAATTTATGGAAGCGCAGATGTAGCATCCTTTTGGATAATAATTATGTGGAGCAAGCAGACTTCCTCGACGAATGCTTTCGGTTCAAAGAGAGCATTACGTCATCGATGCTTGAGGGGCCGATGATTGCAGAACAGGAGAAAGCGAGATTTCGGTGGATGAAACCTGCTCAGTCTTGGGTTAAGGCTAATGCTGATGGAGCGATGGGCGGCGCTTTTGGAATGGCTACAGCTGGAGGGGTGTTGCGGGATCACCATGGCACCTGGATAAGAGGTTTCTCGCGAATTATTGGCATCTGCTGTGCGTTGAAGGCTGAGTTGTGGGCGCTGCATGATATCCTTGTGATGGCGTGGAACATGGGATTTCGAAGAGTGGAAGTGGAAACCGATTGTATGACGGCTGTGAAGTTGATCAATGATCGGAGTTGTGGAAGGGATGGTTGCACCATTGTCAGAATGATAAAAGACGTGCTCGCGAGGGAATGGGAGATTGTTGTGAAGTTCTCTCATCGGGAAACCAATATGGTTGCGGATGGGCTAAGGGTCCTACAGTTGGAACGGTGGTTTATGACAAGCCTCCTGCTGAAGTGGTAGATTTAGTTGGGCGAGACAACCTCCCCATCTTCTAATCTGTTGTGTTTCAATTTTACCAAAAAAATATATATATTGAAAGTTAAAAACCGATAGTTTAAGTACTAACCGCTTTAAGTTTTTAGTAGCGGATATTACAATGAAATAAATTTCTTCTTTTTATAATTAGTCTCTCAACTTTGTATATTTTCATTATTTATTTAATTATTATATTATTTTAAGTCTTCTTTTTACCAAATCTGAATCATATTATTTTTTACCGCTATGAAATATCAATGTAGCTTCATTTTTAATTTTTAATATTGTTGTGAAACACTTAAATGTGACTAAAAATAATGAAAATCTAAAATCAGGCGATAAAATCAAAAAGTTTTAAAGTTGAATAACCAAAACAAAATATAGATAAAATCAAGTAACCAAAAAATATTTTGTGTAAAACAATAAAAGAAACCTTAATTCTAATTATTTAATTTAGATGTCAAATTATTTAAACTTAATGGGTAAAGCACACAAATGGTCCCCCGACTGTAAGATATTGCTTTATTAAGTCCCATATTATTAAAAGTTACAAAATGATCCTCCAACTATAAAGTGTTGTTGTGTTTAATCCATCGACTATCAAAAGTTATAAAATGGTCACCCGACTATTCATTATGTTCTAAACTTGTCATTCTCCTTTAAAATATTGACAGTTGTCTCAATTGGACGTTAACATGATGACTAAGATGTGATAGTCGTTTGAGACTATGAGATCAGATTTTATCATATCACGATTAATAAGTTAACGTCAGCTCAGAATACCGCCAATTTGTAACGAAAAATTACGAGTTTGGAACATAATTAATAGTCGGATAATTATTTTGTAACTTTTAATAGCCAAATGACTTAATAAAAAATATATAATCGGGGATCATTTGTATACTTTACACAAACTTAATTTGATAACAAACAAATCAAATTAAAAATTCATCAGATCAACCAACACTAATTGGTCTAGTGGGGTGAGACATTAGTTCCCTTAAGTAAGGTCAGGGGTTTTGAATTCTTATGATTGTGCAAGTGGAGTAAAATGGGTTAGGAGGTTTACTCTTATCTAAGCAATATCCGATTCGAATTAATTGATCAATAGACCATATATCGATAATTATAAAAAAAATTCTTCGTATCAAACTCAAACAACTCAGAAATAATTTGACCAAACATACCATATGATCTAAATCCTCTAATCCAAAGCCGATCTCTCCTGTTCCAATCTATTGCTGTAAAATATGATCAGTCACAAAAAGAAAAAGAACATTTAGTGGCGCAAGAAAAAGACGTGAACGTGGCCTTTATGCCATCAATCAGCGTCGAATATCACAAAACGCGCTTAAAATCTGTCGCTAATTGCTCAACGCGCCACATGGAGGACTTTAGCATTTAAAATCTCCTTTTGCATTCACATGGTTTTTGAAAGCGGATAAATAATTTGTGTTCTTTTCTTTCCAGACCCGTAACTATCAACACACTCATCTTAGTTGTCCATTAACGGGCTCTTAGTTGTCACACTTCATTATAATGCCCTTTGATTTTAAATGTGTATGCTAAATAATTAACTAACTCAAAACGCATTTCGTCTCTTCAATTTTATTAATTTAACTCTTAATACATACCCAAAAAGTATGAAATAAAATCTTTAATCAATTTCGAAATGATTAGGAAAAACATTAAATATTATATGCTAAAATATACAACTTAAATGACATACAACGGAAGTAAATTGTTTCGTGTATAATACATATAATTTTAAATCATCACGAACAAACATGTTCATATGATAATATGGTTAATTATATATCTTTTTATAAAATATATAAAAAATATGATGAGACTAAACCAAATCTACTTAGAATATGACTTAGTAAATATAATCTACTTAAATTTATTTAATTTTTGTTGAGGAATAATTAAAATCCAATATAATTCCTTAAAGATTATCCGATTATTAGTTTTCGTGTTTATTATTTATTTATTTTAAAATATGTAACTAGCGAAAATGTCAAAAGATGATTAGTGGATGCCCGTGAAGGGATTGACACTTAAATTACAAGACGTCAAGTGGCATAATCGAAAATATATTCAAATTCCAGTGGCATTCACTTATTACTAATCGGTTATAAAGCTTGAAAGCCTGCCTGCCTTCATTTCCACAACCCGAATAAAATGCGACGCTCTAGATTCACCGTTTTCTTCGCGATCTGCGCTATCCTGGCTGTCCATGTGACGGTTTCAGCTTCATCCCCGACGCTCGATTTCGCCGGCGGTCATTTCCTCCCGATCAAATCGGAGTGCCGCGGATCCATCGCCGAGTGCCTGATGCAAGGCGGGGAGGACTCGTCGGAGTTCGACGACGAGTTCGCCATGGGATCCGAGATCAGCAGGCGCATTCTAGCGACGACTCGGTACATCAGCTACGGTGCGCTGAGGAGAAACACGGTGCCGTGTTCGCGACGTGGCGCATCGTACTACAACTGCCGACCTGGAGCTCAGGCGAATCCATACTCACGCGGCTGCAGTAGAATTACACGCTGTCGGCGGTAGATTAATTTATTTTAAATTATTTTTATTATTAAAATAACAATATTGTTTGATTTTTAATTGTGTGTTGTTGTTGTTGTTGTCATGTTGATTAGATGAATTATTGTTTATATATTTTCCCGAATTTTTATCAAATTCGTGTATAAAATAAGCGACGGGTATAAATTTGAAGATTATTGGATTAAATTATTTTGTGGATTTGATTTCATTTATAATTCCATTTTATTTTATTTTTTTTACTGGATTTACTCTTTTTATGTCTAAATCTTTAGGGTGCATGAATTCGATGTGGAATTTAGGTTGGTGATATTTTTAGATAATTTTTTAATTTTTGGGGTTCTTAAGAATATATGACTTTTTTTTTTGTGGTGCTGAAATTCCAGTTTTTCTTCTTCTGAGATTTCGGACAAAAAGGGCCCAATAAAAATAAAATTTATTGATGAAAAATAATTGGCTGCTAATGATGTGAAGTCGGTGTTGATTAAAAAATTGAAACCTGTTTTTTAAGTTAAATTACAACATTAATATTTGGGTAAATTTAAATTATTAATTTTGATTTGTTTTAATATCTAAACTCTTTTTTTAAATCATATAATTTAGTTTTTATTTTATTTTAGAGTTAATTAGTCCTTAAACTATAATACGTATTTTAAATTAGTCTTTAAATTTTTTAACATTCCAATTTCATCCTCAAACTACGTTCCTTATTCTAAATTAGTCCTTAAACTTTTAAACCTTCAAATTTCATTCCCAAGTTCATCCAAATATGTAATTAATTACAACCATAATTAACTTGAACTTTATTTTTTTTTCAAATATATAATAACATAACTTGATCTAATGATTTTATTAACATGGAATGTGATTAGTATATACATATAATTCGGGATGAAATTGAAATGTTGAAAATGTTTGAGGACCAATTTAGAATAAAGGGTATAATTTGGGAATGAAACTAAAATGTTCAGTAGTTTGAGAACTAATTTAGAATGTAGTCATAGTTTCAGGATGAAATTGGAACATTTGGAAGTTTAAGGATCAATTTTAGAATGAGAATCATAGTTTAATAACGTATGATTCAATTAATTCTTCATATTATTTACACGTCATTAAAAACTTAACGTAATTAGTGCTTAAACTATCAATTCTGGTTCGTTTTAGTACCTAAACTTTTATTTAAAAAAATTAACGTTAAATTTTGAACTGATACTAAAATAAAACAAAAACTAAATTTTAGGTATGACTTTAAAAAAATTAAAAATTTAAGTACTAAAATGGATTAAAATTAATAGTTTATTTATTAAGATAATTTACCTTTCATATTTTAGTGTGACATTTGTATATGTTATTTATTTAAGTAACAATAGTATAATATGATAGGTTAACACAATTTATTTGGTCGATTTATTCTACATAAGTTTCTTATTCGATTTTAATCAATATATTTAAGAGAAAATCGCCTCAGTGACCAAAAATACCTTATAATATACGATTTTAATCAATTTTTTTTGGATTTGCCAAAATGACCAATAAAATCGCAACGCGATATCAAAATCGCAACGCGATTTAGAAAATCGCAACGTTAAAAAGAAAATCGCAACGGTCAAAAGAAAATCGCAACGCGAGCTTCCAAGTTCGCAACGCGATTTAGAAGAAAATCGCAATGCGATTGATTGAATCGCAATGCGATTTATAGAATCGTAATGCGATTGAGAGAGTCGCAATGCGACTGAGAGAATCGCATTGCGATTGAGAGAATCGCAACGCGATTTAGAAAATCGCAACGTTAAAAAGAAAATCGCAACGGTCAAAAGAATAGTTAAAAAAATTTTGTTTCTTAAGAATTTTCTCTAAAAAGATAGTATCCGCGCGGACGTGTCGAAGACACGTATTACCACGACCACGACCCGACCCGACCCGAGACGAGACGGCGGCGGCGGCGGCGCGCGAGAGTCCCCCTTGTCCTCTTTCACTCAACAAGGAAGTGCAAAATACAAGCCTTAAATATAATTCCCAATAGTGTTTCCAATACTATGTGGGATTGAGCATTACCAACACTTGTTCCCAATATCATTATTCTTCATAAGTTATCATCCATTACAATATGAATTATCGATAATAAATTAATTCATTTTAATAAGTATTTAAAATTATAACTTGATAAATACATGAAATAATTCTATTATTAAATAAAAAATATATTTTTTATATTAAAATTATTGAGATAGATATTTACTATAAAAGTAAAAGATTTTTTTTTCACGTACAACCTCTATGTGAATTAGTTTCACAATAAGGTATCGGTTATGCATTGGATTCTTTCGTATTAGATGGTCTTTAATAAGATCATCATCATCATTCTTTTGTTCAACAATACCATATATTAATGAGGTATATTGGTTCATTAACACGACTAATTCATATTGTAATGGATGATAACTTATGAAGAATAATGATATTTGGAACAAGTGTTGATAATGCTCAATCCCACATAGTATTGGAAATACTATTGTGAATGGTATTTAAGGCTTGTATTTTGCACTTCCTTGTTGAGTGAAAGAGGACAAGGGGGACTCTCGCGCGCCGCCGCCGCCGCCGCCGTCTCGTCTCGGGTCGGGTCGGGTCGTGGTCGTGGTCGTGGTCGTGGTCGTGGTCGTGGTAATACGTGTCTTCAACACGTCCGCGCGGATACTATCTTTTTAGAGAAAATTCTTAAGAAACAAAATTTTTTTAACTATTCTTTTGACCGTTGCGATTTTCTTTTTAACGTTGCGATTTTCTAAATCGCGTTGCGATTCTCTCAATCGCATTGCGATTCTCTCAGTCGCATTGCGAATCTCTCAGTCGCATTGCGATTCTCTTCTAAATCGCGTTGCGACTCTCTCAATCGCATTGCGATTCAATCAATCGCATTGCGATTTTCTTTTAAATCGCGTTGCGAACTTGGAAGCTCGCGTTGCGATTTTCTTTTGACCGTTGCGATTTTCTTTTTAACGTTACGATTTTCTAAATCGCGTTGCGATTTTGATATCGCGTTGCGATTTTATTGGTCATTTTGGCAAATCCAAAAAAAATTGGTTAAAATCGTATATTATAAGGTATTTTTGGTCACTGAGGCGATTTTCTCTATATTTAATCCTTTGATCCATTATTTATTTCCATCACGGCACAAACTCCTGTTACCTATAATCACACTCACCATCAATAATCAAACATCAAAATTTTATCATCCTTGTTACATTAATTAACACCAAATTTGGAATCTAGGAGAGAGACAAATCTCGGTGGAACAGATAGTTTGGAAGTTGTCCGGATGCTAAAGGAAAACTCTAAGAGAGACTCGATTTTTATTCTTATAGACCACGTGAATGAGTTGATTAAATGAGATTGTAACATTATTTTGAAGCACATAAGCCAAACTGCAAATAAGGTGACGGATAGACTAGCTAAGATTGCCACAACCAGAGGAGAGGCTCATATGGTATTCTCCACCCCACCACTGGAAGTGATCGAATTAGTCCAACAGGAAGCTGTCGATTGCACGTTGACAGTAGAGGCTTAATCCTCTATAGCTTATTTCTTTTGTTCACAAAAACAAAATTAACAAAAAAATTATCACTTAACCTCTACCACCATTTCATCTAAAACATCAGTCTTAATCCATCATCAAACTCATCAAATCATCGTTACTCTTGATTCTTAATTATAATTTTTAAACTATGCGAACAAATTTACCTTAGTGGTCAAAATAATTGTTGTTATTTCTAGAGGTCACGACTTCAAGTACCAGCGACTGTAGCAAAATGATTGAGCATTCATTTTAAATGGTTGAAATTATTTAGAACATATACCACTTTGTAATCACCTTAGCTTAATAAAAAAATAATAACTTTCAAACTAGTATTCGTGTAACCAAGTTATCAGTTTTGATCCGTTTTAGTACCTAAAGTTTCAAATTTTTTAAAATCATACTTAACATTTAATTTTTATTTCATTTTAGTACCCGTCGTTAAAAAACTTAACGCGTTTAGTACCTAATGATGTGTGAAGGGATGATGAACAATGGAAAATTTTAAAATCAAATTAATATAATTTTAAATTAAAAAATATTAAATTTCTTAATTTATCTAAAATTAAGATAAACTTAATAGAATATATAAATAATAAAAATAAATACTTCACCATGAAAATTTATTTAACCACCACATCAATAATTTTGTTAATAATTAACAGTCGATTAATGTTATAATTGAAATCAAACTGAAAGCCTAATAACCTAATCAATAAAATATTTAGTTCAGTGATCAACATAAAATAGACCAAATAGTTTGGTGACACATGTTGTAATTTACACATTAAGAAAAACCGCATTGCACTATACAGAGTACGAAGTCGAGTGACCATTTTCACTTTCGCTTTTGGGAAGCTGAAATATCCTACCATTTTGTTACGTTTAAATATATAAAAGGTGTAAAATTTATATAGAATGTGTTTTATTTCAATTTAGTGTTTAACGTTTATTTCGTTTTAGTTTGTCGCATAACATTTTAATCTGTAATTTAAATTGGGTTAAGTCGCGACATGACATGTTTTTAATATTAAAAATAAATTCTTAAAATAAAAATTAATTAAAATAAAAAAATAGAATGCGAAAAAATGATTTCTTTCCCTCTCTTCCCATTTCTCTTCGTTGATGCGCTCTAAACTAGTATCAGGATGTTTACTCTTTCATATTTTGGGTTTTAAAGGATATTCCAGGTTCATTATAATCCCATAGGAGTCCTTTAAGTTCTTTGTCCATGGCTTTATAAAGATGTCTCATTAGAAAATCAGGAGCATCAGGACCACTAAAACCATCATATATCCCGATAAACAACAATCCTTGCTCTTTAGAAAGCACATCATGAACCCTATCTTCACCAGCCTTTCCATGAGCCCACTGCAAGTTGTGATTGTTCCCATACTCCCATTCATAGGGTTTTTTGACCCATTAGGTTAGGCGGTTTTTTTATTTAGCCCAATAGGATATCCCAAAACTTATTTTGGGATTTACGACAATTTCTACAGTACAGAACAAACTTGTCATCTCGAGATTACGAGTTCCATGGGATATATATATTTTTATTTCGGCTCAAATATTTTAATATTTCCATTGGAACTCGTCACCTCCAGGTGACGAGTCCTATTAATTTTTTTAAGATTATTAAGTGTATTTTCCCAAAAAAAAAAGCGAAACTCATCACCTTAAGGTGAAGAGTTCCTTAGGTTTAAAATTTTATGTTTGTTGTGGATTAAAAATAGTCGTTGGGTTAGTTGATAGAGTTATAGGAGAAGCAAATATGGACTTGTGGGAAGAATATTTCAAGCAATTTTCGGAAGATCATCTTTGGTTGGATTACTTATCAGATGATTTGGATTCAAGCTCGTCTTCAGATGAGGAGTGAGTGGAAGAATCAATAAAATCTATCCTTGATCAAAATAAGGAGTTGAAGAGGGAGGAGGAGGAAAATAATAAGAATAAGAAGGAGAAGGAGATGGAGAAGGAGAAGAATAAGGAGTTAGCAAGCCGACATAGCAAACGACTAATCGAAATGAACGAGGATAAGAAAAATAATGTAAAAATTGAGAGGAAAATATGTTTATTTTGTTGAAAAAATGTTTTAAATAAATGTATGATTTTGACCTTAAGCGTTATTGTTTGCAATTATATATGAAACGTAGAAAAACTTAAAATTATCATTGATATTTGTAAAATCGGTACAAATACGAGTACAAAGGATTTATCAGTATGCTCGATATCTTGGGAGATTTGGACAATGTTTCCTATTGTGGCCTTCACCTCAGCAATGGTCACATAGTTTCGGCAGACCTTGCTCTCTTTGAGGTTCATCCATACCAATATGAATTTGAGTAGATTCATGCTGACCCCTCAACTTCTGTGTAATTGTGGATTGGACAACTATTCTCTAGAGACAATAAGTGGCCATATGCATCGTTCGGGAGGTACTTGAACTCGTAATTGTACATGTTGTGCATAGTATGCAAGCTATAACAATCATCATTGTATTTGTATGGGTCTACATCCACATGCAGCAACTGCGTGAGCAGATGAGTATTTGAAGGCTTGAAATCGACCACAATCACACCATCTTCTATTCAGATTACTTGTATACGTGGCAGAAGTCACACCCTCATGTGGTCGAACAAGTGCTTCGACGATATAATCATATTCCAGTCTGGTGAAATTACGAACATGAATTGATTTTGCATGAGTTTTATTTTTGGTCATTGCTTTCTCCAGATCTGGAGCCCAATTTCTACCTTTATTGAGCATTTCCTCTACCTGAACACTTTTGTCTGCCGAAACTTAACCTAACCTGAATTATGTCTCCCGAACAATACTTGCCACCAGAAGATGTCTAGTCTATTTCAGTACTGAATTGATACACTCGACAAGATTGGTTGTCATATGACCGTAACTTCGACCTTGATTGTCATATGATTGTGTCCATCTTTCTCGAGATATCTCGAGCCAATTTAAAATAAATACGACCCCTCATTAATTACTATCCAACAACTCTCCAGTGATATGTCATTTGAATCTTTAATCTTTAAGTTACTTTTCATCTACTTTTTAGAGGTCATTTATTACAACAATAATACGCCGTTTTAACTACTTTTTAGAGGCCATTTATTATAGCAATGATTCACCGTTTCATCTACTTTTCAGAGGTCATTTATTAAATCAATAATTCACCGTTTCAACTACTTTCCAGAGGTTATTATTACAACAATAATTCATCGTTTCAACTACTTTTCAGAGGCCATTTATTACAATAATAATTCACTGTTTCAGCTAATTTTCATAGGCCATTTATTGTAGCAATAATTCACCGTTTCAGCTACTTTTCAGAGGTTATTTATTACAACAATAATGCACTATTTTAGCTACTTTTCAGAGGTCATTTATTGTAGCAATAATACTCCGATTGGTTTTTTCAGACCTCATTCAATACATAATTCAACTAACTTTTCACAAATTTTTCTGTGTTCATTTAATCATCTTCAGCAACTATTAATACGTGTGAGTTGAAATCCATTTAACTCTGATATTTAAGCAAAAAAAAAAACTATAACACCTTCAATATTCACTTCCAAAGTTTGAGTTTTTTTTCTTCAAACATGTCAACTCTTTGTGCAACTGTTTTTTACGATTGTAAATCTAAAACCATGTGTTTTCCAATAAATATCCAACTACACGAGTTGAAGTCCAGTATAAAAAAAAGAGTTCTACTCAGAAGTAACAGAAAAGTATCTTCCATATATTATAAATTTCCAATATCATGCACGAAGTGTCATCTAAGCGATGATGTAGACCTTGCTGGCATGATTGATAAATATTTCTATCACTCTTTGTCTAATGTCGATTTGTTTGTAGAGTTTGATGATCTCGACCTTGCTCGTACCATTGAGGATGTTGCTTCTAGCTCGAATCTCCCACCAACTCAGACAAACGACCAATAAAAAAAATAGATGATGGAGACCCAGAAGCATGGTTCCAATTCGTGTGTGAACGACAACAACAAAAAGAATGGGAAATTGAAGAACTTAATCTTACTTTTGACGAGTATACTGATTACGAAGATTAAAACTTCTTAATCAATATTGATATGTTAATGATTTTATTTAATGTTTGGGCCAGAATAAAAAATAATCTTTCATGGAACTCGTCATCTCGAGATGACGAGCTTACCCTGCACTGCAAAAATTACTATAGATCCCAAAATGTTTACTATATATCCCAAATTAAATTTTGAGGTACCCTATTGGGCTAAATAAAAAAAATCGTCTGCCCTAATGGGCAAAAGCCCCCTTCAAAACTTTCCGAGAATGTTTTGATTGAAATTTTATCTCCTTAGCATGCCATGCAATTTAGGTCACTGGGTGCAAGAAAAACCTCTACAATCAAGCAGACCCCATCGAATGCTTCAAAAAAGTCATTCTCATTAGCCCACTAACACTTCTCATCAAGCGCTGGAAACGCGGTCTTCTACGACCACGCACAAGTGGAGTGGTGAAATTGGATTTGTCAGTAGCATTATGGGGTCCAGACATCATCCCTTTTTCAATCTCTCCAGACATAAAACCACCTACCTTATTTAGAGGTCCTGAAGTAAACCCTCTCTCAAGGGGGCCAAACATAAACCCATTGAGATGATCGGAACCGCGAAGCAGGGTTTCAAATCGCGATCGCGGTCGCGTTTTCGGTTATTTCGGATTTATCGTGATTGCGGTCGTCGCGGGCGCTATTGCGGCCGTCGCGGGTAACTCGGACAGCGGCGAAACCGTTATATCGCGGCCGAAATCGCGGTCGCGGACCATTTTTTAAAACCCTACCGCGAAGAACTAGCTGCAAAAGGATTGTAGCAAATGATGAGGTGCTCTCAAATGATGCAGCAAGCTCCTGGGCATCAATTGCAAATATCGCACTTTGATTAATGATTACCAGTTCTAGCCATAGAAACATTCGCGCTGACAGACGCACCAGAGAAAAGGGAATAGAGGAAAAGAAAGGAGAAGAGAATGAGTGAATTAATTTTTTTTATTTTAATTATAACATTATTTTTTTAATATTAAACAATACAAGATAATTTTTTAACGGTTAAAATTAACGGTATATTTTGATTCAAACTGATTTACGGACTAAAGTTTTAAACTGATTTACGGAATAAAACTTGAAATATCAAAATAGAATGAAATAAATGTTACACACTAAATTAAAATCAAAGATATAGTTTAACACTTTTTGTATATTTAAGTTTTTTTTAATGGGGTTTAAATATAACTGCGGTCTTTCAAGTTCTGGGTTTTCAACATCTAACTTGAATTGGTGATTTTGATTTTAAAGGTATTTACTAAATCTTTTCCCTTTTCATCTCTTTGTTCGAATGGTTGTTGGTTTTTCGGAGTTCAGAGTAGTTAAATTTCTCTATGAATGTTTCAGTCCCCACTTCAATCGCACAAACAATCCCTACATTCAAATCTCCTTAGATTTTCAGCTTTCCAAAAAACCCATATTTTCTTTGATGGATCAAAGCCCGGAAAAATCGACTTCGCCGTCGAACGACACCGTATTGAGACTCTCTCGTTACCCAGTTGCTAAGCAGAATTTCCCTAGAGAATTCATGCCCCTGTTAGTCACCTTAAATTTGGGTTATCAATTGCAAATCACAGTGGATATGATTTTTGAGAGAGGCATATAGTAGGGCGAAAAGCAAGCTCTTGATACTCTGAGGTACTTTAAGAAGGAAAAAGAAGTGATTACTGTGGAGGAGGATAATGAAGAGAAATCAAAAAGGAAGAACAGTGTGGAGGAAGAAGAGAGGCGTTTTCAGCCATCATCTTCTTCTGGGATTACTAGGTCTAACAATTCGAGCTCGATAATGGTGAATGCATTCGATAAGTTGTCACTGGACCATGAGGTTTCTTTTGTTTACTAACGTTTTAATTCAGTTCCATTGTTGTCGGCAATTGTAAATTTGTTCATAATACTTGGATTTGACCTTGCAATTTGTATCAAATTTCAGGTGATACATAGTGAACTTTTTTACCCTCTTACAAAGGAAGAAATGGCAGAGGTTTCCCATGCTTTTTCTGCAAGAAACAAGTTTGTAATAATGTTTTGTTAGTGTTTGATTATTTGATTGGATGAACACTTTGTGGTGAAAATATTTTGTGCTTGCTTTTGCAGGAAGAGAGTATTGGTCTCTCACGAGAATTCAAGCATCGATATTCGAGGTGAAGTTTTGCAATGCCTGAAACCAGACAAATGGTTGAATGATGAGGTTGATTTCATTTATTTTCAGTGTTATATCTTGTGTTGTGTTGTAGATAGATAGTAGTCATTTGAAGGTTTCATTGATTTGTCTGGTTTCATTAATTTGTCCGCTTTCGGTTAGGATGTACTTCAATTTAGTCAGCTGGTAATCCAGTTTGAACGCACATTTAATTTCTCTTTTGCAGGTCATTAATCTCTATCTTGAATTATTGAAAGAAAGGGAAAACAGGGAGCCAAAGAAGTTTTTGAAATGTCATTTCTTCAACACCTTCTTCTACAAAAAGGTTGTTTCGATTTTCGTTTTCCTTACTTTGCTCTTTCATTTAAGTCATTATAAATAAAAGCTTCTGAGTTCGTTTTTCTGTTCTGCATTTTGATTCTTAGTTAGTGAATCCGGAGAGTGGCTATAATTATAAAGCTGTCAAAAGATGTACTTCACAAAGAAAGTTGGGGTACTGCCTGTTTGATTGTGATAAAGTAAGTATTTGTTCCTTTCTTTTTTCCTACAATCACTGTGTGATCGAATGCTTTGTTTATCCTTTAATCAATTATCCCGTTTTGCTTAGATATTTGTACCGATACACAAAGATGTACATTGGTGCTTGGCAGTTATCAATAAGAAATATCAAAAGTTCCAGTATCTTGATTCACTAAGAGGAAGAGATGCTGAAGTGCTGAATGCATTGGTATGATTTTCAGTTGCATTTTTTCTCTCTTTAGGTGTCTAATTATTCTGAATGCTTGTAATTAATTGATTTGAAGTGCATTAGGTAGTTTAATGTAAGAAGATTTGATGTTTAAGATCCTGTTAGCTGCAAGACTCATTTCCTCTATGTTACTTGGACTTGGGCTTGAAAGTCGGATCAGGGTATGATCCTGTTATGTCTATATTAGGTTTTCCATGTATTTAGAGGGTCTTTATATGGTTATATACATGATTTTTTTGAACCTCCGAGATACTTTTTAATATTCGTTGTTATGTGCCAGGCAAATTACTTTGTTGAAGAAGTGAGGGACAAGAGTGGAGTGGACATCGATGTAAGCTCTTGGGAACAAGAATATGTTGAAGACCTTCCCACACAGAAGAATGGGTGTGTATGTTTTAGAGATTGTTTCTCGAAATACTTATTCTTCTTGAGCTTATTACATTCACAAATAAATTATACCGTTTAGTAATGTATTTCACAGTAGATCTGTGTTGCTACAACTCTTTATTTTTCTTGAATTACCATGTCCAGCACATTTTCAGCATGGGCACCGAGATATGACCTTCCTAGGTAAATGGAAAAAGAAAATTGAACATCCCCATCCAACACTAACACCCGAGTTTGAGTAACATAGAAGTAACTTTATAGGTATATGATCTTTATTTAGTAACTACATACCCTTTATGGCAATTGGCTCCAGATATTTGTGGAAGACTAATTAAGGTAGTAATTACCGCATCTTTTCCCCAGAGTGCTCATAATTAGTTAATGAAACTATAACTGCTTGTTTCATGTACCTTTCATATTGGGGTTTGAATGGTTTCCCTAAACAGTTTTCGTTATGTACAGGTTTGACTGCGGTATGTTTATGTTAAAGTATATCGACTTTTATAGCAGAGGTTTAAGTCTTTGTTTCGATCAGGTAAGTCTGTAGACATTGATGTATTCTGCTCATAATTTCCCTTTATACCATTTGTTCCATGCGATTAAAATGCAGTAGTTAGATAAATTGTCCTTTGGATGTAAAATGTGTTGTGTTCATCTGCAATAATATGAGAGGCAGAAGAACATGGAGCCCGATTATTTTTCTTTGATCACATAGAAAAACTTTTATGAATGTCTTTGCCGAGGCATCCTCTGCACGGATTGCTGCTCAGTAGAAGTTTCTCTGGAAATAAAAGCAAAATGATGATTCAGTGTCCAACTTTTTTTGTTTTTGTAGAAACACATGCCCGATTTTCGTTTAAGGACAGCCAAGGAAATTCTGAGCTTGAAAGCCGATTGATTCAGCACACGAACACTCTGTGGCATTGACAATGTATAGGTATGCCTGCCCAGACCAGTGTTTTGATGATGTATGTTGTGCAAGAGTTTGCTTCAACTACTCAGATTGTTTAACATATATTATTTCTGCGAAAGACGCATATGCTACTGCAATTCAAATCCTAGGATCGGTTCAATTTAGCATACAAGGCTGACCAGTTAAGTTGAAGAGTTGTCTTGGAAGTTGGAGGCTTTTGCTTGCATCTTGTTCCATATACACCATGAAAATGTCCATCTTCTTTCATCAAACATCTTCCCATTTACAGATATATGTATATATGTTTGTCTGTACGTATGCATGTTTCTGCTAGGAGTAATCAAAGATAGTTTCTATTTTCCTTTTGGGCCTTCCTGCATTTGCTTAGACAAAATATAGATGGTGCCAAATCTTTGTACAAATTAAACCTAGTGCTGCAAAAAGTTGCAGTAATTTCTTGAGTTCAATTTGTTTCAAATTCTGATATAAGTTCCGATAAATTCAGATCATACATTACATGAATATAATTGCACAGAGACAATAATCCGATCATTCGATGCCATTAAGGCAGGGTGTAAGGTGGATGAGATTAAAGGCGGTGTTGCCGGTGGAACTATTCTCAGGGCATGTTTTGGCTTGGGATGTACTTGTTAGCCTAAAGTGGTTTTGTTCTGTTGCCGAACCTTTTGCTTACACTAAACACTGGATCAGAGGCAAAATTCTTCCTTCTCCGATGACTTCTCGGTGTTAGGACAAAGGGATCAGATAGGCAGGGAAAGGTTTCAAATCTGGCCGTTGTAGAATCCTAATGTTGATTCTCGGGTCCATGTTGACCGGTGCTCGGGTCATAACAGTAAAGAATGATTCGGCGAACTTACAACCATCATCGCCTGTGTGCACCGGCAAGGGAGAGAAGGTTAGACTAAGTCGCCAGTAGAGAAGCTCCGGTCTCTAATAAGGTTGGGCCAAATTCAAGCCGGAACGACTCGATCATTGTCGAATTTAAAGAGGAAAAAAATAAACTTGAATTTAGTTTAATCATTGTCGAATCCAACCATGCTCAGACGATATTCTTAATCGGTCAAATTTTATTAAATTATAATGAAATGATCATCACGACGTCATAATAATAATAAAATTTGATAGTTATTTTGTAACACTTTAATAATTTTAATGATATTTTAAAATATCTCGATCACAATTTTATAATTTTAATAATTATATAATCATTTGAGAATAATTACTTGATCTTTGCTGTACTTAAAATAAAGGATTTTTGAAGTCCGGTATTGTTAGTCACTTCCACTCTTTCTTTTCAAATCTCTGAACCCAGAAAAAGGAAGAAAAACAACAATGGCGGCAGCGGGATCTTTGCAGAATCTCCTGAAACTCGGGACTAAAATCGTCGGCGTTGGCCGCAACTACGCCGCGCACGCCAAAGAACTAGGCAACGCCGTCCCCAAGGTATACAATTACCGTTTATTATCTTATATTCAAAGGGCAGATTCTGGTCATTTGTTTCCGATGCGAACTAAAAAATGATGTCGAAATTTGCGTTACACAGGAGCCGGTATTGTTTCTGAAGCCGACGTCATCGTATTTGGAAAATGGGGGGACAATTGAGGTTCCACATCCATTGAATTCGTTGGATTATGAAGCTTGCTGTTGTGATGGTAAAAATGGCTCGGGACGTGCCTGAAAAAACCGCCATGAATTATGTTGGAGGTAATTTAGAATCATTTTCTGATCAAAATCGAAAGACCCTGTGATTTTTATGGGTCTAAGATCTTGCTTATTGAGATATCCTCTTTTTCTGAAAGAACGTGTTCAAAAAGAATGGGATGGGAAGTCAAATCAGTGTTGGTTAAGGATCATTATTCAATTAAATGTAAATTAAATGTTAAATATGTGATTTTGGTATTAAATGAGAATTTTACGTAGTAATTAGTTAATAAAAACATGCATCTGACTTGATTGCATAATGTTTAAAGTATGAATAACAGGTAAGGATGTGGACAATCGGATATCGGATCCGATTCAATTTGAAAATTCAGATAATTAAAATAGCGATTCGAATCCGATCCGATTCGGATATCCGAATAACGGATCCGAGCATGTCCCTTATATTACCGAGAATTAATCTCCTTGTATTATGTCTTCTTCATTGGTTTATTCTCTTTGAATCGTTTCACATTTGCAGGTGCACTAGATTTTCATGGGTTTATTCTCTTTTGTTCAATAGAAGGTTAATTTATAGTGATAAAGACTGCTCTTTTGATGCCAAAAACCTTGACCCTTTTCAAAAAAAAAAATTGTCCTCTCAACTAGTTTCCTGGAAAATGCAGCAAAGAGAATTTTAGCTCTTCTTTAATTTTCTTGTTGTTACATTCTTTAAAAACAATGGCATTTTTGTAATATAACTTGGTAGCCATTATCAATTTTTTGTTCTGGAGCTGAATTTTTTATGATTTCCTCATATGGTTAAATGGGTTTTGTTCATTTTAAATTTTTGTTGTTATTTGGGATTCCATTTCCTTTTACAGTTTAACTTTTTTTTCTCAGCAACCAAACATGATTTCTCTGCCTTGGCTTTTGATATGGTACACAATTTAGCTTTTAAAAAGCTTTCATTTCGTTTTTCAATTTCCTCTACAATAAAACAAGCTGTCAGCTTCGATCGTTTAAGTTTCTTAATAATTATTGTTCATAAAAATTTGGGATTCAGTACCTCAAATTATTCTTGTTAGTGACTATATCTCTCTCTCTCTTTCAAATTAGTTACTGTTCATAAAAATATGGAATTCTCTTTGTACTTCCTTTTAAGCTCATATATCCTTAACTACAAAAAAAAAAAAAAAACCTTGTCAAAATCAAAATGGAACTTTATTTTCATCTGTTACGTTTATCTTATAAGCCCAACGCTAATAAAAACACAGTACGATAACCACAGCAAAAATACTCCACAGACTGCTACTGGGCCTAGGGCTAAAGGCACATTAAATTTTCGGATAATTCGGATAATCCGGAATTGAGAATTCCCCGATCCGTATTCGAACCGATTATCCTAATTTTTTATCAGATATCCAATTCGAATTATCCGGAAAAAAATCGGATTGGATATTTTTGCACACCCCTAATAACATGTTGCAAGTCCAAATCCAATCCTCTACAGAAATAGTTTAATAAAAAAAATACCAAAACCCAGTTTTTCACTGGTTTCCTCAAGACCCCAATTTTTTATGTGATTAAAATTGATCCTAGAGCAAACTTTTATCTGTAATGTGGATCATATGGTGTGCTTATTACTACTTATTTTGTGTTTGTGTATTTTACTTTAGAAGCTCTAGTTTGCTATTTTATTATTTTGGTAAGGTTTATGATTGATTTGTGGTGACATTCAATGTGAAACGTTGGATTTTAACACATTCCCTTTTCCTTTTCCCCCTTTTTACTCATTAATAATTTACGTAGATTAGGATCAATTTGATGCTGAAATGACCGGTTTTGTGTGCTTCAGGCTATGCTTTAGCATTGGATATGACTGCAAGAGAAATCCAATCTGTTGCAAAGGTACAAGGTTCAGTCATATTAAGCTCCCATGTACATTTTGTGAAGGCAGTGTTATTTCACATCTAATGATTCATCTTTTCCATGGAGGTGAATCCGTACCCTGTTGGACAAGATGGTAACAAGTTTACAAATTTTGTTTCGATGGGACATGTTTTCCTATTACTATGAAGTTAATTATTTATAGGGTTACCGTTATAATAAAACCTTGTTGCATATGGATGCTCTCCAATTTCATTCTTTTGGCTATTTTACTCCTTTCATTGGTGAATCGAAACATTAGAGACGTGGGAGTAAGAAATAAGATTGAAACAGTTGTTTCATTTTAGTGCCCACCCTTAACAGCACTACGGTTTTTATAGGTAAATTACATTATTCTAAAATATTCTTAATAAAAAAAATCTAAAATATATATGTATAAATAGGAGTGAGAAGATAGTTAAGTGATGAGTGATGTAATTTACCCATAAAAAGGTACTATGTGCAAATTACCCGTTAAGTTTTTTAACGGTGAGGTACTAAAACTAAACGTTGATATGGTTTAAAAACATTAAAAGTTTAAGTACTAAAACGGATTAAACTGATAATTTATATATTAAATGCGTAATTTACCCTATTTTATAAATAAAATTAACACTGAAACAAGCTTATGGGTCTACGCTTATATATATATATATATGTATATATATTGTTGGAGTGAGTTTAGTCAAATTATTCGGTTTCTAAAACCCAAAATAGCGTCAATCAAAGTAATTCGTGGCCGAAATGTTTTTGCAGATTCCATGGTTTCTCGACTTCCATTTCATCCCCACAAAAATGCTCAGTTTTTTCTCCTCTTTCACCATATATGTCCTCACAGTAACGTATTGATGTCCAAATACCAAAGTATTCGAACGTTAAACATGATTTTGATATACGTTTTGTTTCAGAAACGAGATTTTATAAAGTTATATTAAAATAACTTTAAAAATACGAAATCATTTAAATGTATAAATATGAAATAACGAAAGAATTGAATTAATACAATTTTGAGGACAAAAAGTCGTTATACCAAAAATTATTTTTCCCTACCTTTTTGTAGTTTACGGTTTTTTGTCCCTTTTTTTTCGTAGGTTATATTTGACATCGCCACGACTGATTAAGATTGCGCTTATTTGTTATCATGTTGATCTTCTCTGCTTTAGACCCTCGAATTGATTTGGATACACGTTTCGCGCTCGTAGATAGTTTTCTCACGTCGCTTGACTTTGATTTGCGATTTGTTTGTGGTATTTCAATAGTTTCATCTATTAGGAAAATATTCTTGTGTGATCTAGGTGACTAGTTTTTGTGTTAATAGTTATAGGAAAATATTCTAATTATAACTTAGTTTACGTTTACTATTATGCACGTAAATCTTTATTGTAATTCTAGATATTATATATTTTTAATAAAATTAACGACTTTTTATAAAAAAAATCATCTATTAATAAAATTTAAACTATTTTCTTGTTAACGTTAATATTTTCTGTTTTTGATATTAGTACTAATATCCGATTTATGGATCGACGAATCGTTAACATTTTCTTGAAAGTAAAAAGTCATTATACCAAAAATAATTGTACACCACAGTTTATTGTCAACGTCAACATTTTCTTTAAATTTGAACAGAAATACAAAATATAAAATGAAAAATTGAAAAGTTGTTAAGGGCATTAAAGTCAATTAATATATGCCATCGTCAACCATGGTGGCCGTCGACTAAAAATGTCCAACATCTCAGCTCTTTTCATTTAAAAACCCTTCCAATCCAATCTTCCCTTTCCAAACTGAAAACCCGACTCCATAGCTGAAATACTTCAAAGCTTCAAAAACCACAATGAGTGGAAACAGTAACTCGGGTAGGTTCGGCGATTCCTCTGATGTTTCCATGGACGACAATGGCGGCTATGCTTTGAGCGGCAGAATCATGCTCAGCACCATCGTCGTCTTGTTCTTCGTCGTCTTACTCGCGTTCGTCCTCCACCTCTACGCCCGCTGGATGCTCCTCCGTGCCCGCAACCTCCGTTCCCCCAACGGCAGACGGAACCGACGGCGAAGGCAGCTCGTTTTCTACGCTGACAACAACGCCCCCGCGACGCGCGGCCTGGATGCGCGGGTGCTAAAGTCTCTCCCGGTCTTCACTTTCTCCGCCGTGACAAACCCGGATTCCGCCGTCGAATGCGCCGTTTGCTTGTCGGAATTCGAAGAGAACGAGTCGGGTCGGGTATTGCCCAAATGCAAGCATAGCTTCCATGTAGAGTGTATCGATATGTGGTTCCACTCTCATTCCACGTGTCCCCTTTGTCGGACTCCCGTCGAAGGACCCGTACCCGTATCTGAGAACCCGGGAGATGTAGTTTTAACCGTCAATGAACCGTTAGGCGGGGAATCTGGATCGAATCGGGGCTCCGATTTGTGTTCCACGTGTGATCACGAGGAGCAACAGGCAGCTACGTCGGCCGTTGAGTCCAGGAGGAAATTATCGGTCGAGGTTCCGAGAAGAAACACAGAAGGTTTTGCAAGTGAGTCGAGTGGGTGTGACTCAGGGCCGAGTCAATCTTATAAATCGCCGATGACTCGTATGTTGTCGTTTAAGAGGATATTGAGTAGAGAACGAAGAGCGAGTGGATCAATCAATGTCTCTGAGTCGGATATAGAGGGAGGTGGGGAAGGGGGACTCAGCGAACTCAAGGCGAACTCGGGTGAGGTCTGTGACTCGGTAGACAAAAATATCAGCCAAGTGGATGAATTAACCTTATCGACGTGAAAAGACAATTCATACGAGGATTTGGAAGCACATAATCTGCGAGCATTCTGGATACGTGGCAGCTTTTGGGACGTTTATGAGCGAGATTTTTTTTATTGGTTTTTTTTATGTGTATAATTTTTGTCTATCCCAAACAATAATATACAAACTCAATCATGTCGATAATTACGCTCAAAAATCTTATGTTGGTACCTCTCTTTTCCACTAAATCGTCGATTTAATACTCATCGCAAGGAAAATGATTATAATATTTTATATATCTTAATTCTTAAATTTTAAAAATATCTTAAATTTAATACTTAAATTTTCATTTTTTTAATTCATACATAACATTTAGTTTTAGTTTTATTTTAGTACTCCATCATTAAAACTTTAATAGATGGGCTCATCGGTCATTACATTTGTCGACTGATGAAGCCCAAACTTTTCAATCTGTTACCTTTTTCAACCCCTGAACGCGATTTCAACATTTCTTTTATCTCAAAACACCTAAATATCCTTAAATCAACAATAGACTCTTCGATTTCTTCATCCTTCAATCTCCATGATCCACCATCCGATGGGCTTGAAACTGGACTATGTTAGTCGATTTGTCATTCCCTCGTGGTCCACTATTCGGATTGGTCGTCCATCCATCGGAGTTATGCGACGTCAACCTGTCCGTTAAATTTTTAAAAATAACGTACTAAAATAAAATAAAAACTAAATATTATGTATAATTTAAAAAAAATAAATATTTATATATTAAAACAAACCAAAATCATAGTTTAAATACTAAACACATATATTATACTATTTTATAATAGTAGTGGTTAGTTGATGGTGACGCAGCTAAAGCTGTCTCGATTGGACCCCCAACCTAACAAACATTTTTATTATTTCTTAAAATACCAAAAGGTTGTCAAAGAAAACATATATATATATTAGAATTCAAAGAAAACAACTAAAAAATTTGGATATCGGATCCAACCTGATTCGAAATTTCAGATAGCTAAATTGGTGATTCGAATTCGATCCGAAAAATAAGATATCCAAATTTTTGGATCGGATATGCGATCCAAATATATTATATATCTTACCTGAAATTAATATCATTTTTGAAAAAAATTGTGAACAAAACATGTTTAAAAAATAGGGAAAAGATTTTCAGTTTGAATTTAAAATTAAAATAAAAAATATTGGTAATCAACTGAATCGCAAACAAACAAGAGTTTTTTTTAATCAATTTGTTAATAAAATTCATTTCCCTGATTCTGCCATCACCCTTGCTTTTATTATCACAAACACCACAATTTTCTTTAAATCCATAACATTTAAAACAACAATTTATACTGTTTTTTTCATATAGTACATAAATTATTATAATTCTTTTAAAATTTTAAATTAAAGACATGTATATATTTAAATGTATTAAATTTTAATATATATAGAATCTAAAAGTATAAAATAATCTAAAATGTAAAATTATATGTTATAATTACATTTAAATAAAAATATATTTCACAGTTAATTTTGAGTCAACCGGTTCATAGATTAATCTTATCTCTTGGATTGGCGGCGGGAAGGAAACCGACATCCCTTTTGATTTGTTTTCTTTTAACTCCGATCTTTGACTTTTCAAGCTTTTTTTTAAGCATCCTAATGCAAAAGACCAAACAGGACATGCAAAAAAATAAAGTAAAATTATAAATACATTATTTTTTTCTATTCTTATATTAGCTTAACTTTAATATTTTAGAATTAAATGGACCTATCACAAAGTTATTTAATTTGATGTTTAGTATTATCTTATTAATTAGACAATTTATTTCTCACATGGTGTCATGTTCATGACGGATGCATAAACTTACGTTAAGAGATACGAACTTAAGAGGTTATATTAAAAATTTTAGAAAATACGAAATTAGATAATCAATAAAATATACAAAAAAATGTAAAATATAAGAAAATCTGAAAATTCTAGGGAGCGCGACCGCGTTCCCAGCACTCCCTCGATCCATCCCAGGTCATGTTGGTTCAAGATCTATTTAATTAATCATGCCAACTTGCCTCATCAACCGTGTTATTATCTAAGCAAGGTCTGAGGGATATAGAAGTAATTTGATTCCTCCACGTCAAGTTCAATTTCATGTGTTATTTCTAAGGGAGTATTATAGGTTTCTTGGTTGACCAGTATAATGTAAGAAATGAAGAGGATATTACATATATTACATGGGATGGGAGACATCAGCTTGTTTTCCACGTAATTCTTGCTAATCAAAACAAAGTTGTCATTCACTAGTACTTTTTATTTTTTAAGTTGTTACTTTCTAGGAAAAAAAATATATGTACATACATTTTTCTATAGAAGTAATTAGTTTTATTTTAAAAAAAAAATAGAATTATAATGATTTTTTAAAAAACAAACATAATAAATATTTATAATTATAACCATAAATTAAATATATAATAGAGATATTTTTTATAACTATAATATAAGAAATCAATCCATCATATAAGAACTAGGGTAAATTATGCGTTTAGTATTTAAACTATCAGTTTTGACTCTTTTGTAGTACCTAAACATTTAATTTTTTCAAAACAATACCTAAAGTTTAGTTTTTATTTCATTTTAGTATCATGTCGTTAAAAACTTTAGTTTTTTTTTTTGTTTCATTTTAGTACACCGTTCAAAATTTAACATTAAATTTTGAAAAAATTGAAAGTTTAGGTACTAAAACGAATGAAAACTGATCATTTAGGTACTAAATGGTAAAGACGTTAAGTTTTTAAAGGCGGGATACTAAAATGAAATGAAAATTAAACATTAGGCATGATTTTGAAAAAAAATAAAAATATAAGTATTAAAAAGGATCAACACTAATAGTTTATGTGTTAAAGGCATAGTTTACCCTAAGAACTATGCAAGTAAAGTGTTAGAAAAAATACCTATAAAATAAAGTCGAGGAGTTATAATCCTACAAAAATTACATAAGCTATTATCAATTCATCATCTTGTTCTTGAGGATAATCAAATATTCCATCAATAAAGGCTATGAAATTACTCAATGTCTAAATTGGTTTCGCACCCGTAGACCTGTAAATGAACTGAACGTTCAGCGAACCGTTCATGAACCGTACGGCGGAAAGTTCGTTTATGTCGTTTATTTATTAAATGAACGAACATGAACAAGATTTTGCGTTCGTTTAATTAAATGAACGAACATGAACAAAGGACTCGTTCGTTCATTTACGTTCGTGAACGTTCGATTATATGTTCGTTTATGTTCGTTCATTTATGTTCATTTATGTTCGAACAGAGGGCAAGTTGAATATGTTATGAAGATTATTGAAGTTGTTTGGATTTCAAGAAGATTGTTTTGTTGAACAAATTAACTTTAAAACTTTATTATATTCATATAGCTTATTTATGATATATGTATGTTTTTGACGTATTCGAACAAATTAACTCTAAAGTTGCAGGTTATATTAATGAATTTTAAGTTGTTATTCTTGGTGTTTACTTTTTTTACATTCGTTTGTTGTGTTCGAATAATTTTTTGTGTGTGTTTGTGTTGTTCGTTTATGTTCGTTCGTTCGTGTTTGTTTATGTTCGTTTATTATTTAAGTGAATGAACATGAACAAGCTATATTCCTTAATGAACGAACATGAACAAAAAAAAATTATTCGTTTATGTTCGTGTTTGTTTATTTATTAAATGAACGAACTTGAACATACATTCGTTCGTGTGCGTTCAATTCGTTTACAAGCCTACGCACCCGTGGTTTGAGCATAGTACTAAATTACTATTGCGGTATCACGATTATGATTTTGTGAGCGTTTCAGACGTTATAACATAATTTATTTTCAAAAAATAACTATGATTTTATATCGTAGACACGATTGGAGCGTCACAGTGATCAAAATGTTTTTTACGATGCGATCGTTACATGCCTTGTAACCACAGTTTAATGTTATGATATGAGTGTAAAAGCATTACTCTCAATTTAGAGACGATGTGATGAATTCATTGATCATAAACTATTTTAAAATACCAAAATCAGATATATGAATTTTCATTGGAAACCCAACCTTAAGCAACTTTGATGAGCATTTTAAATTAATGCTTTTTACTTGTTAATTCTTTCATTTTATGAATATATCACTACTAATTTGGATTGTGTTATGTTTATTTTCATGCAGTGATTTGTTTTCCATAATTGGCAGCAAAACTACGCATTTTGCAATTATTTTTTTATTTTTTGATTGTAGCTGGAGACATGGGAACGACGCTGGGCATGACGTGGGTCTGATGTGGCAGCTTCTAGAAGATCCAGTCAGCACGAGGAAGACACTGGAAGTTGCCTAGTCTATTAGTGTGTCGCTTAGCTAGTTAGCTCAACCTTCAGATTGTTTCCGTGGGCAGGTCAGTAGATCCAGCAGGTGAAAAGCAATAGATAGACCAAAACCTTGTTCAGACCAGTGCAGATTCAGAGTGTGTCTCAACATTTTTGAAACAACATGTATATTTGTAAACTTTATTGTCCAGTTGAGTCGTTGTTTCAGTAGAGCGATTTGTATTCTTTTTGTAAAGAGTAAATATTTTAAATTTGGAGCTCCTCGGTGTAAAGATTTTATTTATTCTTCATTTTATTTTACATTTGTTTTATATTTAAAGAAAGTAAGAAAAAATTGGTCAGTCACTTCAGTGATTCTGTGTAGTACCTTCAATCGATCGACTGTGTGTCATATTGATATAGGGTGTTACATTTAGTGGTATCTGAGTCAGGTTTTGATCTTGGGACATGTGGGTAATACCCCGAAACCCTGGTCAATAGTTTGAGTCAACCCGAAACCTGTAAGTAAAGCTAGTTAGACCTTTTAAGATAGTTGGACCAGTTCAAAAAAGGTATTGGGCTTAGGTTGACCCAATAGTTAAAGGATAGTATTGTTTTTAAAAGTGAGTTAAAGGGAGAATGAATAAAAGTGTAGTTTACCCTTAGCTCGTTTTAGTGGTTAAAAACCCTTTATCTCCCTTATTTTTCACGTGAGTCATTCCCCAAAAATATCTTCCCTTTTTCTTTTTCTCCAGACTCTTTTTCTTCATTTCTTCTACTTCATCAAGATCAAGCTTAGTTTGAATCCACCAAGGTAAGAGTCTTATTCTATTTCTCTCAAGCTTCATTTCAAGCTCTTAATCTTAGGTTTTTGTTAAGATTTATGAAATAT